AACTCAGGGCCTTGTACTTGATAGGCAGATATGCTATCCCTTGAGCTATGCCACCAGCTTTTTTTGGGTATCACGTTTATGCCTGGGCCTGCCTGGACACAATACTCCTATTTACCCTGCATAGCAGGGATGACATGTGCATGCCGTCATGCCTAGCTTTTATTAACTGAGACAGGGGTTTTGAGAACTTTTTGATGGGGCTGAACTTGAACTATGATTCTTCCAATCTTTACTTCCCGAGTAGCTGGGATTACAGATGTGGTCCATGACACAGTATTTGCATTAACTCACACTTATTCTCCCATATCTTTAAAATCGTCTCTAGATCACTTATGATACCCAATGCACTGTAAATGATATGTAGTCCTTAGAGTGTATTGTTTAGGGAATAATGACAAGAAAAAAATAATTCAGTATAGATGCAATCTTTTTCCAAATATTTTTGATCCACAGTTGAATTCGTGGGTATGGAACCTGTAGACATAGGGAGTCAACTGTATATGATGTATATGATGTGCACACTGTACATACACATATATATGTGACTTTCTACACATCTCTCTCTGTCTCTACGTACTGCATGTGAGGTTTCTATCAGACCCAGAAGGTAGGATACACAGTATCCACTAAGTGTCAGACTGCACATCTGTCTTGTGTGTAGCTTCTGATAATACCACTCTGTACTGCAGGAGATTCACCTGGTAAATACAGAGCAGAAGCTCAAAGCAGTGCTTCTCACGCATTCTCTATGCTTGAGTCTTGGCCGTATCACTTGAAAGCTGGGTGGCTTTAGACTTTTTACTTAACCTCGTTTCACTTTAATTTTGTCTTTCAATTGGACAAAAGTTACAGTTTCTTCTTCAAGGTGCTGGCGTTAGGATTAAATGGTGCAATGTGTAAGACACACTCTTACTGGCCCACTGTACATGCTCTCTGCCCTTTCATTGTGATCGTATTTGATTCTCCCAAGATGTTATGTGGCATCTGAAAGTGAGAGAGGCCAAGGAACTTTGCCTGTGTGCTTATGGGTCTTGATAGAACTGTCTGGCTAGAGTAGAGTGTTTGGTACTGTTCTGCACGGTGGCAAATTATCCCTAGGTAATGTATCTTTTCTTTGTGGGTGTGGGTGACTTTTCTTTCAGGGTAACTCCAGTCTCAATCCAGCCTCAATGACCACTTCTTTCATGGGCAGAGTTGTTTCCTAGTATACTTAGAGGCTGATTGAAATTGAGGAGGGGCAGCAGGAATGCCATCACTGTCAACAGGTAACTGTTGGTGCAGAGAGAAGTTTAAACACCATAGTGCTACTGCAGAAAACATGGATGTTTTTGGAAAGACGGTGGCGGTATCTGTGGTACTTCAGGGAAGCTGACGGTGACCATAACCCTAAGTGACTGTTCCAGGTTGGATTTCAGTTCTAACCCTGGGAGGTCACACTAGGTAACCTCTTCAGTTCCTTCTAAATATAAGTTTCTGAGTCTACAGATTATCACATGGTGCATCCAGGCTGACAGTGCCACAGGATGCTCTGGGGCTCAAGAGTGTGAAAACCTCATTGCTTTCCTTGAGGGGACCAATGGCTTTGTGCTGGCCTGGGAAGATTCTTGTCTACAGTTGTAACAAAATGCAAAAAATAAAGACAATTTTATTTGCATTGGTTTGTAACATTTTTATAAAAAATACCCTACAAGATATGTTCCAGTTGTTGAATTGTAACTCTAGAGTAGAAATATGAAAATATATAAGTTCCAAATAATTTTTTTTCTTTTTCCAAATAATTTCTTGAACATCTATTCCATGAAATTCAGAGTCTCTAAAGAGATCCAACCCCCTCTGTTGTAGGAATAGCACGCCTGAGATAGGTGGTATGCTGCACGGCTCGTTGGAAACAGCCAGTCCTGCTCTGCCCCTTACTAATGTGTGACCTGGAATTATTTAACATCACTGGGCTCAGTGGCTTAAAACTACAATGGCTTATTTCTTACCCACTTCATATACCCATCGCAGGTTCCCATTGCTTTACCATGCTGTCCTTCTTGGGGACACAGGCTGGAGGAGCCTCTACTTCTTGCAATCTCACTGGTCATCGATCGTGGTAAGGGGAAGAGAACATGAGCCCGGAAGAAGCGCATGTTTTTTCCCCTCACAGTTCATTGGTCAGAGAAAGTCACGCGACCACACCCACCTCCACGGGGACAGGGAAGTACAGTCCTCAAAGAAGTTCCTGGAAGGAGGACTAGTAGAAATATTGCAAATAACAAGGCCAAATGTGCTTCATATTCCATTTTATTTTAGCTCAGTATTTTTTACCAATTGAGATAATTTTATATCTTGATTCAAGTGTGAATTGTATTCACCACCAAAATTTGAACGTCTATACAAATGCTTGAAAATTTCTTTTATCCTTATTATGGTGCACTGCCTAGTATGTTTGGACTACCGCACTGTGTGTGTGTGTGTGTGTATGTGTACATATTCCTACTTTCTCCTTAAGGTGATTCTGAGAAGTACTATCACATCTTTGCTGAAATCAAGATGCATTGTTCCTACATTTTGTCATCTGCTTACCAATATAGGGTCTGTATCAAAAGAGGAGGTGAGATGGGTGTTATGGTTTGATTTTTTGTCCTCTCCAAAACTTACGCTGGACGCCTTCCCGCTCTCCAGCATGTGTTGTAGCAAGGAAGCCCTCTACAGTTGCTGGTCCCTTTTTTGGACTTTCCAACCTTCAGAACTTTGAATCAATTAATTTCTGTTATACATTTCCCAGCCTGTGGTATTGTTATAGCTGCACAAAATGGACTAAGACAATGGATGAAGATAAAGATTTAGTGTTCTGTAAGTTTGGAATAATATGAACAAAGGCATGGATAATTGAATTTCTAGATTTCATTTAACCAGAGAGCCAATATTATTATAATGCCTTCTGTCAATATTATAAGGTAATATAATAGTTGAGTATTTGGGGGTCTTGCAGTTGTTTAGAAAATGTCAGCCAAGTACCAGATCAGCCTTCTGAGTCTGCAGGAAAGACCTACTTGTTTGAGAGTGATAGTAGCAATGGCGTACCTGCATGGTGCTTCCTGCATGGATTTTGGAGTCCAGAATGTACAAGTCCATGTTCTATTGTTCAGAACTAATCACATGGATTTACCTATAAGCTGAGAAATTTAGTTGCCTTTTTTAAGCTTGGAGAAAAATGAAATGGTCTTATATATATATTTTTTGCCATGATATGGCTTTTAAAGATTAAAGACAGATAGAATACTATTTTTTTAAAAAAGGGACATTATCTGGAAAATTCAGAAATCAGCGTCCAGAAAACAAATCCACTGATAATTCTCCTCTCTCAGTGTTACGAAATTCACCAACAAAAGGGTTGGTTAGGCAAAAATGTAACGAACAGCCTTTGTTTGTACCTGTGTCCTGGTGGAAGGAAGTAAGCAACACTATCCATTAGTCTCGGAATTAAAGTAGGAGAAGTTAGTTTCAGGGAAAATGCAGCTTCCCAGGGCACAGAAAGTGCAAGAACCAAGAATGAGGAGACTAGCGCCAGCAGAGGGTGCTGGCGTGGCACGATATTAAGATTTATAAAAAGAAGAGGGCTCAGAAGAGCAGGTGTGAAGGAAGAAAATGTAGTAACTGTTCAGATCGACCTAGAGTGCTCAATTCCCTCTGCGCCTGCAGGTCCACCTGGGGTTCTCTGATGGCCTGCAATGACCACATGACTTTTAGGCAGCTCCTAAGCTCGTGTGTGACATTTGCTTCTGGGTACAAACAGGACTGGTAGAGGCCGGGCAGGCGGCCTCCTGTTTCTACTGGTGGACTTGCTCCTCTGTGGCACCTACAAGTGTCAAGGGCAGTTTCTACTTTATTTGCCAGCGTTTACAAAACTCTTTTTGTGATTCCTAATACGCAAGGTATTAAATTCTGGGGAGCCTGCACATAGCAGAGGTTATGAAAGGTCAGGCGGTGGAGAAAAAGCAGGCTGAGTTCTGTTCAGCGGAGCTGGAATTCTGTGGCAGTCACAGCAGGAGCAGCCTAACCAAGACATTTAGAAGAGACCCGAAGTAGGTCACCAAGAATGTTCCTTTCACACACAGTTCAGTAGTAAATGCCACTGCTGGCAGGGTCTTTGAGAACCTGCACTTCAGACTCTCCCCCGTCCCCCACTCCCGGTTCTGACAGCGTTCTGGGCTGGGAGTCAGGTGACCCACTGAGTTCGAGTCCAGCTGGTCTGGGCCTCAAGTTTCCTCCTGGGTTTAACAAAAGGGTTGGGCATTCTGAGCCCCAGGCCTCTTTGAGCGCTCACACACTACGATCAAACGTTTCTGAGTGGTGCTGCTGGCTCTGCGCTCAGGGAATGGGCCAACGAGAAGGATGTGACTGCTCGGTCCGCACCAAGAACATGGGCCCCGGACCTCGCCTTGAGAACTCAAGGTCACTTCCATGCCAGCTGGGTGGATGAGCGAGTGTCGGCGCGCTGGGTTCTTTGGTGGTGCGGGGGAGCTGCGGGTGGCAAGGGTGGTGAGAGGGGGTGGGGCAGCCCGGGAGAGTAAGGTCAGGCGGGTCCCCTACGCTGTCTCACAGATTCTGCGCCAAGAGGCCGCGGGTGGCTGCCGCGAGCAGTCTGAAGTCCTCCCTCCCGCCTGCGTGGACCTCTCCATCCTCTTTGCTGCTGAAGCATCGCCCAGCTCCCCGCCCAGACCGGCACCGCCACCGCTGTCCCCTCAGGCTTTCTTTTGGACACACCCGGGACTATGACCCCTTAGGGTTGGGGACCCAGGGCAGCCTTCCTGCAAGTGTTTCCCCAACTCACTGCTGGGGTAAGGTTCGCACTCCGGGGTCCTGGCGCCCCGCCTCCGTTAGCCCCGCCCCACTGGCCCCGCCCCCCGGCCCCGCCCGCGGTTGCCCGGGGAACCACGGTTCCCGCAGCTGCAGGAGGCGTCCGGTCCCGCTGAGCAGCCCCAGCCGCCACAGCCGCCGCCGCTGCCACCGCCATCGTCGCCGTCGCCACTACCGCCGCCACCGCGCCCCAGCTCCGGCTCTCGCTCCCGCGCCCTCCCGGCCGGCCATGCCTCTCCGCCGCGCCCAGGCGCCGGGTGCGCAGCTGCTGCCCGCGCTGGCCCTTCTGCCGCTGCTGCTGGGCGCTGGGCCCCGCGGTGGCTGCCTGGCCAGCCCGGTGCCGGCCGCGCCCCTGCCCGCACCGGGACCGTGCGCCGCGCAGCCCTGTCGGAATGGGGGCGTGTGCACCCCGCGTTCCTCGCCCGGCCAGGAGCACCCGGACCCCAACGCTGAGCCCGGCTACAGCTGCACCTGCCCGGCTGGGGTCTCCGGCACCGACTGCCAGGTGAGTGGACGCGGCGAGCGCCATGCGAAGCGCGGGCCGGGGACTCGCAGCCTCTCTCCGCCGGCCACTGGCTCCGGCACTCCCGACTCCAGCTTCTGTCACTTCAGGAAGGGGACGGCCGGCCTCTCGGCCCGCGTGGACGCGCACCCCCGGGCAGACCCTGCAGGTGCCAGCCGAGGCTCTCGTGCCCCGGGGCCCGGCAGCCAGCCCAGCCCCAGTCCTCCCGAGCGGCGCGCCCTCCTGGCCGGGGCTGAGCCAAGCTCCACTAGAGCGCGGTCTTGGAGCCAGCGGTGGCCGCGCAGAGCAGCTGCTCCTGCTCCCCATCCCACAGGACGCTGCGTGTGTCCAGCGTGCAGGATGGGGGAGGCAGGTGACGGTGGGCCCTGTGCCACCATCGATGAGGCACTTTTCCTCCCTTCCTGCCCCCCAAGGCTCTGACAAGGCAGCCAGAGGCTGAGAGGGCACCCACCTCCCTCGGTCTGCGGCCAGCCGGCTCCGAGCTTAGGTGGGGCTACTGGGACAGGCGGAAGCAGCTGAGGGGCATCGGTGTCGCCTTTCTGGCTGGAAGCTCCTCTAGGCGCACGCTTGATGCTGGCAGCCAGGGCGCCCGCAGGGCACTGCGAAGCCTCCAGGAAGCCAGAGGAGGTGTGAGGGATGGGAAGTGGCCAGCAGCCGTCCTCGAATTTGGGAGTTCCTTGAGAATTTGGCAGAAAATAAATTTAATCTGCTTTTATAAGCAGGTGAAACCTATTAACATTTTCAGTGGGCGAATTGGTAGTGCATGTGTGCAGGCGGAAGACCCTCAAGTTTATTCCAGGGTGGGGATGAATAATGAATTGACCTGAGATGATTAAGTCAAACCATGTGAATATGAAACATGTTTGTGATCACATGCTTTCTTACATTTAGGGTGGAGGAGTTTGTTTCATATAAATTTGATACAGTGATTGAAGAGTTACTTTGACAATGCTCAAAGGGACTCTTCTTTCAAATTGGGGGGGGGGACGGGAGGAAGGCCACCGTTTCCATATGGTAGGCTTTAATTTTTTAACAGAGAGAAGTGGGATTGTAAAGCTTGACCTTGACAGACAGAAATTTTGCTGTTTACCTAGAATCTTTTTTTTTCTTCTTTCTTCAATAGCAAATTCTGAGTCTGAAACTATCTTTTGGGTATTGGGTTCTTCCTCTTTGTTAGCCGGGTTCCACAAGCTTTAATTCCCCTTGGGAGATAATGATAAGGTGTTGGTGATGACATTGATGATGGTGATAGTGTGTTATGTGATAGGAACTGCTGGAGATTTGGGGCATGACAACTCTTGGGAGAAATGTCTAGTGAAGTTATTCTAACCATTGGAAGAAAGTCTTGCTTTTGCAAAAATGAAAACTGTACATTAAAAACCAGAGACTGGACTCATAGTAATTTTCTCTGTTGTGATGATTTTTTTATGACTTTTCCTGGAGAATCGAGCTGCCTGATTGCTTCCCATCAAACTGCTGTTATATTTACATGTCTGAATTCCTTCCTTGGAAGGAATAGATGATTTGGATCCAGGGTGAGGTGGGTGGGAGTAGACAGAAGAAAGGTGATAGTGCACTTGGCTTAGGTAAATGAGACATTGAGAATTTAACCCAAAATTGAGATTTTTTCACGACTCTAAAATAGATATAAGAAACCTTCAAGAAATGGAGGTTTATTACTCCTAAAAGATGATTAATAGAACGCATAAGTACTTTGATTTATCCTAATTTGTGATTTGAAATGCGAGGTAACGTATTCAAAGGAGTCATGAACTAATTTAGTCCTGCAGTACCAACTGGCTCAAAACAGATTCAGGTTTCCTGTGGAGCTTGCCCTGTGGTAAGGTAGACTTAGCTGCTCACCTGGACGCTCTGTGATCCAAGTTGGAGTGAGTGGAGTAACTGTAACGCTAACAGGAAAGCTTAGCGAATTTTGGAACCCGATCAGAGTTGGTTACCCAGAAGAACTTACTGAGATGATTCAGAGGTTCATGGCCCATAAAATATTGATCCCGAATGATTTTAACTTAATCTTTCATGAGCTTGCATTGGGACTCAAGATTCACTTTCTGTGGCATCAGGAAACAAAACAGGAAACAGTATCACAAAAGGCAATCTCAACAGAGAAGTCAGAAATCAAAAACAAAACAGCAAAAACCTACAACACTGAATTAAAGATTGGAGGATGGATGTAAGCCACTGCAGACAGCGGCATTGCTGAACTAGAGCCCAGTGCCCACCGGATAAGTTGGAAATGGAATTTTACCTGAATGGGAAGAGACTTTTAAACAGTGTCACATTTCCTCCAACTACAGTAAGGCAATCATTGTAGCATTACAACCCAGCCCTAAGGTTTCATTTTGTGTTGAAGAAATTTAAGAAAATCATAAACCATTAATCGCAACTGAAATGGACCAAAGCTGTCTTTAGCTTTGCTGTGGAGGGCTTCTTGTGTCACCAGAGTGACAGGAACTCATAGGATCTGGGAATTGTGGGTCACACGGGTTTGAAGTCAAGCTGCTCCAGTTAAACCTGCTGTGACAGGTGATGGGAGCTGACGGGTCTCGCTTTCCTCATCTCCAGACTACCTCACTGCTGTGTGTCATGAAGAGACAGACTCCATTTTTTGATGTTTGACTGCTGACAGCTTTTAAGCCTCTCCTCTCCCTTCTCCCTCCCCACCACATCAAGGTGAGCCGATAAGAAAGCCAGGTGCTCGTGCCTTTGTTGCCAGGGATGGCTCATCATGCCAGCCCCTGCCTGGTGCACCTGCTGCCCAACTCACCTCCCTTCCTCCCCCCCGCCCCCAGCCTGTTCCCTTCCTTTCCCTGAAAGTCCGTAGGATACTGGGCTTTTGCTGAAAATACTTTGCTCCAAGTTGACTCCAAATAAAATGAACACTGCTGATATGTTTGAAAAAAATGTCAACTTTATAAAAATTGAGGCTGCTCTTGTTCTTCTGGTTCAGTGGGGAAGCGGGCAGATATTAGAAGTGGGCAATTTTTCTCATCTGGTGAGTAGTACAGAAAACTCTCTTCTCCTGGGTTAACCACCAAACGTAGGAATCACTTTAATGTGTACTATTTTTGTTTGTAAAGCCTATTTTATTTTAATGAATTCTTTGCCAAATGTTCAAGCAATCAGACACCTGTTTTTTTTTTTTATTACCTACTCCCCAATGAGCCTATCATTTGAAAGTATAATAAAAATGTGGCAAATTTTGCATTTGGACAAAAAAGGGGCTTGCATAGCTGCTTTTATGCAAGTTAATGCTCCTTGTTCAGCTGATTCTGTAATCCTGCCTTCTGATTAAACATGCCAGCTTGAGTAATGGTTCTTTCTATTCCAGAAGAACCCATTTTTGATTGAAATTTGCTAACAAAGAAGAACGAGGAATTCCAGTTCTTTGAACATCAGTCTTCTCTACTGGACTTTTTACACACACACACACACACATACACACACCTCATATTATGGCATATGCAAAATGTTAAATATCAGCTGCAATGTTAAAGGACACTGCTTCTTTCTGTGGCTTTTCTAGTAATTTTTATGTCCTTCAGAGGGTCACTAACCATCTCTGAACGTCAACGTTCATATCTCAAAATGGATTAGTAATACTTGTCTTATTTTATCTATAAAATGATAAAACTCAGAAATGAGAACATTATGAAGTTTTTTTCTACAGAAATATGAAAGAATAAAAAATGTTTTGAAACATGCTGACCTGGAACTTGTCACCTTCCTGCCTCATCCTCCTGAATGCTGGCATGAGAATAAATTTTAAAACATTTTGATGAAAAGCAAATTGTTATACACATACAGGATATACTCAGAAAAAGGTTGTTTTTTCCTGTGTCAAATATAATTATAAATTTACTCAGTATTTGTGGTTTGCGTTCAATGAACAGACCATCTTTTCTATTAGGATGAATTCTGCTGTGGTGTAAATTTTAAAAATGACAAATGAATTGTATTACAAATTTTTTTATAAATGTGTAGCTCTTCTGAAAATAAATGACATCTCAAAAAATTCTCAATGACTTGACATTTCTTTTGAAAGAAAAGAAAAAGGTATCAAAATTCTTGTAACACTTTGAAGCAAAGAAGGAAATAGTTGGTATTCCTGGTGGCATTAAAGGTTTTATTTTGAGCATGATATTCCTGGTCACTCTTAGGAACTGTGACCTTTCTCAGCTTGGCCACCTGACAAACACACATTCCTGTCTTTAGCTTCCTTCTTAAGCATCTCATGTGACTTGGGATCATTCAAGTTGGTTTTTCTTGTGCCCTCATTCCACAAGCACCCAAAGAGGAAGAGAACCTAGTCTGAAGTTGAAGGCCATTTGAGTCAGAGAGCAGAATGCCTAGCTGTATTTTTCAGTATCCTTTCCAACTCAGGAGGCAGCCGTGGTCAGAGCTGCTCAGCCCAGAGACAGTCAGTGCAGAATCCTGACCCCATATCGAAAATGCCCACTGGCAGACAGAAGCTCTTTCTTTTCCCTTTCTCCCAGCTTCACCTGCGCTGGTGCTCACTGCTGGCTTCTTATTAGACTCACCTGGGAACAAACAGGAGCACCTGGGGCCTGGTAGCCCCCTCTCCCCGACATTCTGACTTAAGTGGTTTGGGTGGGGCTGGCCACTGGCAGCTTTTAAATTCTCTCCAGGTGATTTTACTACATCATCAGGGGTGAGAGGACCCCTGCTAGACTCCTGTCATTTCTTCTCACAGCCTGCTAGCATGCAGCACAGGACAGAGAAAAATAAGTTGCACCCACTTTTGCACCCAAAGCACATCCAGATTCTCAGGCCAGGACTTCCTGGACAGTTTTGAGTAGTTCTTGAGTGTATATGTTTTGCATGTCCAAGTGGATCTGGGTGGAAGGCATGCAAGCTGAGAGCAAGCCCTGGGTTGGAACCTGTCTCTGGCTCCTCCGATCAGCAACTCCTTCGTCAGAGGCTGAGTGTCCTCATCTATGAAG